GTTTTTTTGTTTTTTTTTTTTTTTCCTGCGAATAGCAGCCGCCCTGAGTTGGGGCAGTTCTGATAGCCGTTGCGCAAAGGACCTCCAAGTGCTCTCCCAGAAGTGGTTTATTTACTTCGCCGCCTTTAACTTCTCCGGCGTCGTCTTTCTCTGTGTAACTGCCATCGCTGGCTTTGTCTTTTATTTTCTAGCGGCTCTGCGCTTGCAAATAATGGTGTTTCTGACAGAATAAGTGGACAATATCGTTATTCTTGAACTGCTACCAAGTGTCTGAGCTATGTCATTTTTATGCACGGTGATGGACGATAATGCGCTGCAAACAACCACTCCTGCATGATTTGCCTGCCGTTGCTGTTGTCCAGTCCCGAATTTGAATTACTAGCCGGAGTACCTTCCGCATAAAGAGGTTTTCAGCTCCGCTTTTCTCAGCGAAACTGCAGCAGTTCTCAGCAAGCTGGAAGCAAAGTGTTTATTTTTTAGTCCCACATCTGCACACAGATTTCAAAATGTGAGCACAAGGCTCAAGTTAACAACGAGGTTATTCTTTAGGGCAGTCTTTTGTTATTGTCCTGCTGTAACACCTGGTTTGGTTTCCTAGATAGTTTTGAAACTGTTTGCTTGGAACCAAATGATATTAAAAGATCGTGTGAAGACAGGGAGAGAAGTTGTAATTTTTTTGAAGTACATGATCTTTTTTTGTGAATGCTGAGGTTTTCTCGCTTGAGCAATCTCATTGAATTACATTGAAAATAAATTAGAAGCAATAGCTGCATATTCTGATGTAAATTTTTCTCTGTTCTGAGAAGCCTTGAACTTCTGCCTGATTTACCTGTTTTCCAGTTAGAAGAGCATTGTCTGTTTATTTGACTTCACGTTGGAACGCTCTTTTTCATTGCCTCTCCCTCCCGCCCCCTCTTTTCTTTCCAAACCTGTTGCTCAATAGTGGAATTGCCCCTTCCTAGAAGTGATTTGGAAGTCAGATGCAGAAATACTACCCTGCAGTCCTCTTCTACTATGTCTCTACTGTCCAGAGTTAGAAAATTACCTCTGTAAGAGGATTAAGTTGAAAGAAAATAAATGTAGCAAGGAGGTACATCAAGATGATGAGGAAGAAAGTAGAATGCCAAACTAGTAGTTTCTGTACTTCATTGTGTTCATAGTCCACGCTGAGCCCTTGGCCAGCCCTGGGGCTGAATGTCCTCCCAGTCCCATGGAGAATGGCTTCTTCCAGCCAGTTCCCGTGTTACAATGTGGCCGGCTTTTGTTTCCCCTGCCCGGCCGTTTTTACCTCCTACAAGCATCACACAGGTCACTGCCATCTGCATGAAGTGTCAGAAATTGCTGGGTGTGATATGAGCAGGTGGCAGCAGAGGGCACTCGGACATCTGCTGCTGGAAGCAGCATAGGCCTTTACCCTTTGGCCAGGTAATAACACAAAGCCAGATTCCCGTTCTTTCCAAAACCAGTGCGGTTGTAACTAGTGATAGTGAAATTCTGCTGGTTCTGTGAAGTTTTGCAATGCTCTTTCGTGACCCATACGCAACAAAATGCCAGCAGACTTCACGGGGCCTCACTGCTTTTGGTCACATATGTAAGAGTCTGAGGTCAACTCCCCGTAGAAAAAAATAAGTGTATTCAGAAAAAAAATGTTTAGTGGGAAGACAGATTAAAAATGTTGTAAGCCACCAAATAACAGAAATGAAAATTTAAACTTGCATACAAACCTTAACATATAACCCACATGCCATTTAGTTAAAAGTTGTCTAAATGGTAACTAGTGATGTGAAGATAATACAGGCATCTCCTGCATTTGAACAGGGCTTTGTATGCATGTTTAGGTGCTTTTATGCTTTATTGTTTTGCATTTAAGTTAGAAGCGAGGTAAGAATTACTCACGTTATGTTATTTAAGACGTTATTTTTTTTGCCTGGGTGTTTTATCTCATACCCCCTTCTTATTATGCAATATCAACCAATGTGTCCCTGTTTCATATTTTGCTTATTTAAAAGATTTAGCTTATATTTTAATAACAAAGACCATGTGATTAATTTACATTTGATCAAAGGCATTTTTTTCCTTAGCTTGTACCAAGCCAATTGAATTAGAAAATGGAAGGGCAAGCTTTTAGTTGGCTCTGCACTGCTGTACTGATACATTTGAACAAGTCTACAGATTTAATTAACAACCCTTTTGATTTCTTTTTGTTATTAAAAATTAGGAGTCTGCGGTGCTTCAGTTTGTGATGTATCTTTTCCTGTTTGGTGCAGTTTAGCTAACAATGGCATCCCCACTGAATCTGAAAGAAGCCACTGGCAACCAAAATTCATGGGATACTTTGCTACCAGATTTCCCTAAAGGACCGCTTTGCAAATATCGTAAGAAAGCTTCTTTTAACTGGAAGGAGATGGCAGTATTACTAGACGGTGAAGATGTCATCCAGCTGAAGGTAAACTTTGCAAGAATTGTAAGCATGGTTTAATTTTGGAGATACCTTATCAGTAGAAGTGAGTTTCTGATTTTCAAAGAGGAAGTATTTGCTTTAATAATACTCTGTAGATACGGAGTGTGAAGAAATTGGTTTTGCACATCCAATTTTCAGAACAGAACTGAACTTTTAAGCAACCTACTTCACTGTCTCATAAGGCTCATTTCATTACTGAGCATCCGTGCAGTGGAGACCAGCAGGTGCTACCTTACAGACCTTCCATGTTCATTTCAAACTGAGAAAGAATTATATTCTGCCATATTTCTTTACTGTACTGTTTGCATTAAATAATATATCTGACAGTTTTACAATGCACTTAAGCTGAGCTAAGTTCAAGCATAGTATTTCTGTCTTCCTTTGACTGACATAATTTCCTACGGTCTTCTGTGCCCGCATTAATGCTTATGTGGCATTGCAGTTGGACAGATTAGCATGCCTACCTCGCTGAAAGCTAACCCTAACAAAAAAAAATAGATTAATTGCAGCACAAGAGATGGTGTGGGAATGCATGACTTGGAAATGTATGACAAGGCAGAACTGACTTTTTTGAAGGTGGTATAGATTTACATGGATTTCAGCTAATCTTGAACATTCACCATAAGTATTAAAATCTCAGAAGGTGGATCAAAGAAATCTAAAATACCTTGCTCCATATCTGACTGGTACACTTACGAGCATAGGAAAAACACAAGTGCTCTGTGTCTGATGGAGTTTCAAAGCTGTGTGGGCAAATAGTGTTGTACATACAGAGAGAGGGAATGACCTTATCTTTCAAAGAAAAGCACAAGAAATCTTCTGGTTTTCTTCCTTCTTACTGTATCATTCTCTTCAGAAAGGAGGAAAGGACTTTAAAAACATTTCTAAAAGATTTTCCCTAAGGCACTGCACTTTTTTCTACATTACATGAAAGATAAGAAGATGTGGATATCTTGAAGACACAGAGATCTGAGGTAAAAAAAAAAAAGCTATAGTATGTCATCTAACAAAAAAAAAAAATCCAAATTAAAATATTAAAAGAGGCACATCCCCATATTGAACAGCTGCATATAATGATTCCATTAAATGGAGTACATTTCTGCCTTCACCTGGGAACAGAGCAGTTGTGGTAGCTTAATGGCTTTACCGTTATGGCATATTTCTAAGTGAATGTAACCCCTGGAGTTTCACCTTTATTCTCAAATGGAGGGCTATTGCCATTTAGATCCTGGCAGCAGCTTCATATAGTAAAATAATGAAGCTGCTATAAAAAGCAAGTAAGTTTTACCATACTGTTCTCTTACATTCAAAGTGAATCAGTCCCACGGTTATTACTTCATGATGAAGGAGCTTTCCTAAAATTTAGCTGCATGAACTATATATACAATGACAGACCATTTAACCGTATTTTTTAATTCTCTGGAGTTTTGGCTTTTTAAATTTACATCTTCCTATCAAATGAATGTAGTTTGAGGCCTGGTGTTATCCTAGAAGAACTTTAACTTGTTTTATTAATGCTTTTAGATTAAGATTCTTATGTCAGTTTTTTTCCCCCTGAAGAAGAGAATCTTCTCTGCTCTGGAAAGTGATCCTCTCTTTGCACATCATCCTGGAGAAGATTTGTGCCGTGAGAAATATCAGGAGCTGACATTCCTGCGCTGTAGAAGGCTCTTTGAGTATGATTTTCTTACTCAGGAAGAGATCGGAGAGAACCCATTAAAGCTATTTATTATGGTCACCTGTATAGGAATGTACGATTGGTCTCCATGTCTCCAGTATTTCTTAAATTGCGGTGTAAGTACAGTTCAAAAGGTATAACAGTGTATATTTGCATTTAAGTGTCTTGTAATACCATAATTCCATTGCTTTCTGCCTATTTTATTAAAGCTATATCTTTTCCCAATCCTTTGCTTTCTAAAATGGAATTCATTTTAACTATTTAGAAGAATCAGAGAGCTGTGAGATGAAGTTAGATCTTTGTCATTAAGGTCTGTCTCCACTGGAATCCCACCTGGAAAGTAAAGGTGGAGCAGTATAGGCAGAGCTACAGTAAAGATATTTTGATGTCTACAGTTCAGCCTTCTTTTGTCCACTCCTCTGCCTCCTCTCTATGGCATTAGTAACCAAAGAACTTGGTTGTTGGGCCCTATTTGATGGCTGTGTCTTTGCTGCAGGTATCAGAAACTTCTTTGCCTCACCCTGTGTGTTGAAAGAATGGATACTGGTGTGAAGTGTCTCACTGACATCAGTGGCTGGGATTCTATGCATCAGTTGGCCCTTAGATGAGTCTCTCAGAAAGAATACTTGACGTAGCTGGTTAAATAATATTAGGTGAATTAGTTAATTATTACTATTCACATGGCGGGAAGGAGGGGTCTGGGAATTACAGTTTCATTATGTGAATATCCATCTAGAAAAACTGAAAGTAGCTTTAAAAACAGTGTTCTTGTCTGGTCTTGAAGCAGCTACCTTCAGTTCCAACTCCATTTGCAATAAACCAAACTAGAATAGTCTTGAAGTTTTACTTTTACTCAAGAGGACATCAGTAAGGACAAGTGGAAAGTGATCTCATTAAGTGTTTCTAAGCGTTGCAGTGACGGCCTGAATGGGTTAAAGCTGTGAAAAGTTCAGTCCTCTGTAAACAGACCTTGACAAGATCAAATTCTGACTTACCTTCTCCAGCTGTAGTCTAAGTAGTAGTTTACTGCGCAGCCTCCTTTCCGTGGTCTCTTTAATGAACATCACTATTACAAATGATTATGTATGTGCAATTTGTGCTTTCCATCACAGGGTCACTGATTTCATTCATAATTCTCTGTTTTTACAGGTATTTTTAGGTACAGTTTTGACTGCTTCTATGAGGTTTGCAGACCTTGTGAAACAAGTTTATAGGATGGAGGTAAATTATTTCTTTTTTTGATAACTTGTGAGAACTGGGGCCACCATCATAACCATGGCACCACCTGCACCTTTGTGTTATTTCTGATGTCTTTACATACCTAGGTACTTCTAAATAGCAAGAGAAAAGTCCAAGGAGCAGATTGAAACACTGAGCCCTGACTATCCTCACTGCTACCTAATTGTGCCACTTCCTGGATCTGTTTTAGACTGTCCAAGTTGAGATGCAGACAGTTTGGGGACTTCTCCCAAAAGGCAGTATAGAAGACACACCAGTTTAATTTCCATCCACAGTCTTTTAAGAGTATCCTAGCAAGTTTTGCATGCTCAAAATCTCCCACCTCCCTCATCTACATTGTACACTGTGCAACACATACCCTTACCATGATGCTCTAAAAAATCCATTATTCTCATGCTATAAGATGGAAAATAATATCTTAAGGCCACAGAAACACCACATGGAGTCCAATGGAGACTCAGGACCAAGCACCCTGCAGCATAAGTGCAGCCTATCTGATATAGAAAGAACCAATCCGAAGCAGTCTCTCCGTCTGTGCCATTTGGCCATGTAGGCAGCATTAACTGTTTGGCCTTATGCTCTTTGATTTTGCACAATGTGTATGCTGATCTTCATGCTTCTTTTGTTATTCTTTATAACTTATCTTTTTTTTTTTCCAGCCATTCACCGTCCTTGTCTATTTAGTTTTCTGAAATTGCATGGTTTTCTGTGTACTTGTAGACAGCAATATAATGCTACGTAGTTCTGACTAAATACCCCATGTTGAAGATCAGGATGAATTCCTTTAATGACTCTCAGTCCAAGCAAAAGCTTGAGGATATGTATTTATCAGAATAATTTTGCCTGAGGCTTCAGTTTGTTTTTGTTTTTGTTTTTTCTCACTTGCTTTTCAAAGGTTTGTTACTGAAGAGTATGTCAAAAGGGCCAAACCAGTCTAGGGCAAGGGGTTCCAGTATGCACATTTCAGTGTGACTTCAAGTAGGCAGTGTTCCCAAATGCTGCTGAGAACGATTGAAATAAATTTATCCCCTTCAATAATGTAGGCTGTTTGCGATTTTAAAAATAAACAGCCTCATTCTGTTTTTCCCCTAGATTTGCAAGTTCCCAGAACTGCTTCTAATGCAAGCAGGCTTGCTCGTTTTCACCACGCAACGATTCTTTCAACACAGACAGCTGAAAACTTAGTCAGTGGATGTAGTAATCTGTACCTGCCTGAATGAGTCAGCCATCAGCAAAGGAAAAAAATACCGGTTACCCTACTGCAGGCCTAGCCTTAGGGTTACATTTGATTGGTTTCTTGCAATTGCAAGTTGCTTTCCAACAGCTGAATTTGCAGTCATTTGAAAATCTTAGAGTTTCAATTGCTGTAACGAAGTACTGTGCCTTATGTCGTCTTATTTAGATTTTTGGATGTTTTGCTCTGACTGAACTCAGCCATGGAACTAATACGAAAGGCATACGGACTACTGCCACGTTTGATCGTAGCACTCAGGTTAGTCGTTTTTGCACAGGAATAATGTTTAACACTGTTAAGCTGTTATTTACTAACAGGACATAATGATTCAGGGAATTCTTTGATTACCAAGAAAGAATCAAGTTCAAGTTCAAATGTAAAAAAACCCAAAACAAACAAACCACAAGCAAAAAAACAACAACAAAACAACAAAAAGTCAAATGTTCACATTGTTATAAATATTGACAATAAATCCAGCTGTTTCTGTTTTCTTGTACGAGTAGTTGTTTTAGCTTCTGGTTGTGATGTGAAATAAGGATAGCATCCTTCTCCTGTGTTGTGTCTCTTAAGGAATAGTTGGACGTGCAGGTTAAATTGTCTTTAGTTTTTAAATATGAAGGCTTTACATACAAAGATTAGGAGTATTTCCTGAGGGTGAGAAAAAGAAATACAAAATAGAGATATCAAGACTATCAGAGAGACCCAAAGAAGAAAACAATAAACTGCTTTTTCCATGAGGATACTGCTTACTATTCGTAATGTGTTTTCTGAAATCAACACTTCTACAGAAATAAACTCATTGTCCTAGTATTTTTTCAGTAAATGAATAGAACTCATTATAGTTTTACATTAAGGGAGGAGAAAACAGAAGTTAAGAGAGGAGGCTGTGATGGATCTTTCTCTCTCTCTTTGTCATCTACATGCTTAGTTTGTGCCAAGTTGAATTTAAAATGTGTTATTTGATGTCCCAAAAAGGTAGACTCATGGTTTCCCCCAAAGACTGTGGCGTTTTATTGCACTGTAATATCCAGAACTTGGTGCTATTACTATCAACAACGTCAGATCATGAAGTGGCTACAAAAGAATGAGAAATGAGAATCGTAGATTTGAAACATAGGATTTTATATTCTTCAGTAGGACAGCATCCCAGTCTGCGTTTTTTCATATATAAGCAATTCAGTGCTCATTTATGCAACTGAATGTTCAGATCCCTTTCCTGAAGAAAAAAAAAAAAAAAAAAAAAAAACAAACAAGCAACACAAACTTGTGAGATTGGCAGCATGAAAAGTTCCATTTAAATAAACTGAGTTTTAGGCGGATGATGAGTGCACTGCAGTAAAAGTGACTGAAACAACTAAATCTTTGTTAAGATCGTGAAACTTGGAGTTCAGATTTCTTTTAAATCCAGGAAGCACGCTATTTGGAATATAAAAATTTGAATGTTGAAGCTGTGTCTAAATTTCAGGATATATGCATTTTTCAGAATTCCCACTACTCATGATCCCTCAGTTGTCCAAACTGGGAAGCGTGCTGCCTTTCACACTGTTGACCAGGCTTTCTTTCCATACAAAACTGCTTAAGAAGGAGGTGGTCCCTGCACAGGTTTCAGCCCTCACAGCTGAAACAACCTGCACACTCCCTCACAGGGACTCACAGCTCAGCTTAACCTAAGGTCTAGGAAATGCTTCTGAGTCCATCACTTTGCTTTACTTTTTTAAATTAATTAAAGGAACAATTGAAAGGCTGGATTTCAGGCTTTATAATGAAGTAATGAAATTTTTCAGCTCTAATTTTTTCCTAGCTGCATGTATGGTCTCCAAAGCTGAAAACAATAAGAGAGATCTCAGCTGTTGGAGTGGAGTACAGAATGAAACCCTGGCAGTTAATGGATGTTTTCAAAACATTACCATGATCATGAAAAAAAAAAAAAATAGCCACATGTTGATTTTTATGATTTATATAATTTGCTCCTTTCTTTTCTGGCCACAGGAATTTATCATCAATACTCCTGACTTTGAAGCTGCAAAGTTCTGGGTTGGTAACATGGGGAAACATGCCACTCATGCAGTTGTGTACGCCCAGCTCTATACTCCAGATGGACAGTGCCAAGGATTACATTCCTTTATTGTACAGGTAGAGTAGAAATATTGCTAATCTTTTTTTCTTTTTGCGGGGAGTGGATTCAGATTAAAGACTTTCTGTTATGCTGTTATTTATACCTGACTGATAGATTCTTTAATTAATGCCTGCAACATTTATTGCAATTGTAACAAGTGTACTGTTTTTAAATATTCACTGGTTTTGTGATGGTTGTACAGCTGGTTTTAGACTCTCAGTTTTCTGCAAAAAATTCTGAAAAGTACGGAAGAGCTGAAAAGCCTCCAGATTATCACACTATCTGTATAGTTAGAACTAACCTACGCGATATGAAGTCCTGAAAGTCTTGAATGAGGCTTAACATGATTTTTGCCTGCCAATGCTGCAGGCTGATCCGCATGAAATCTGCAAAGTTCTACCACAGAGATCAGCTTATAAGATTAAAGGCATTAGAAAATACAGCAATGCAGTAGAGATGTTGTACATAGTGAAATGAACTAGTTGCAAACTGAACAGAATTTATTACAAAATCAGGGAATATCTCAAAGCTGATTGTTACATAAAAGTTCTATGGATTCCTACTATTTCTATGTACACCTGAAGGAGGTTTCAATGCTAGTCTGATGAAAGCAGTCATCAGTGTTAAGGCACATTTAACACAGTGGTGTAATTAGTGTCATATTGCCAAAGTAATTTTCGTTAAGGATCTATGTCCTTAATGAGAGGCTACGTAAGTGCAAGTTATATCCAGGATTATGTGCTTGAAAAAAACAGACTTTTCTTCAGTGTTAGTAACAGAATACAAGTTGGGAATACTTTTCACTGTTTGAAAAGTTCAACCAATAACTTTTATTGTTCCACAACTGAAATAATGTTTTGTTCCACTTCTGTGCAGATTCGAGATACAAAAACTCTCCTACCAATGCCAGGTGTGATGGTAGGTGACATAGGAAAGAAACTTGGGCAGAATGGGTTGGATAATGGGTAAGTCAATCCATTTGAAGGAAGAAATATTCTAGATTGTTTCACACTGCAGTGGTGCAAATATGTTCCCATGTCAGTTCTGTCTTTACTTCTGAGGAATTCACTAATGATTTTAAGTTGTTGGTATGTCTAAAAAAAAACCCAGGTGTTTGTTGAATGTTGAATTTCAGTATTTTCTATCTGAATAACCACAGTCTTTCTGCTTCTCTCACTTATGAAGTGCCACATACTTTCTGAATATCCCCAAGCATTCTTGCAGTCATAGACTCTGTAACAATAATAATGAAAAAAACAAAACAAAAAAAATCCATTCAGTTCTGAGAAAAGAGTTAATCAGCCTCTCCACCCATCTGGGTGTAAGCCCTTAATTATTTCATCTGTCAATTTTCAGCCCACGGGAAGGCTAATGGAGGTCCACAGACAAGGTTTATTGTTAGTAAAGACGTAAGATTAATGAGACCTAGTAGGGAAACTAAGTATCTTCCTTAAACCATGGGATTTCTGGATTAATCCTGTTCAGTGCAGAAGAGAATGAGGTTAGGTTTTTTTTTTTTGTGTGTTCTCTGTGTACAGTTGGAATAAAAACGTACCCAGGCTCCATTTACGAGTCATGGACTTCAATGGCCTTGCTGTATCTCTAACTAACCAAAGGCATCTGATAGGGAGGAAATGGAGGCAGATTCTTCTGTTAAAACAGCCATTATGTAAAAATTACAATTGAAACCCATGTATTAGCTCTGTGTAAAGACAGAGACCTAAAATAGTAAGGGGAGGCAAGATGCCACTTCTTTATGCCTCAAATTTATCTGGTTTTGTTGATTCAGTTGATTACACATATATGTATTGTCCTTCATAAGATGCCATTGAAGTAAATAAAGTATAGATAAGATATCCGGCTTTCAAATGTGATGGCTTTGACTGGCTTTCCAGAAGGTTGTAGGTCTTCTGTAGTTTGTTGTCTGTACCAGCCTCCTCCAGATGTCACAAATAGCCTGTAGTGACAAAAATAGCACTGACGTTTATGTAGCTCATTCTCATTGATGCTCTATTGCCTGAAGACACAGACGGAATAAAGAATGATTAAAAAAAAGTCTAGAAAATTAAGTTTTCTAGAGGCAAAATGTGAGAAAAGGCCTGGAAAAGAAGGAGGGCTGGGTTTTGGTGGGTATTTTTCCTGCATCAGCATTACAAACTAGTAGCCACCAGATGGCACAGCAACATGGGTCTGAATAATCTAAATGTAATTCAGCTTCATATTTCTGTAGAAATGTTCAAATTCTGCTGTTTGTTCTTAACTTGTAGCATAGTTTTATGCACAACACAGGGAAGGAGAAGAGTGTGCTTGTCACATGACATCAAACTGCACATAATTCTAAAATCCATTTATTCTTTGATCTACTGGGAAAAAATAGAGCATTTCTTCAAATATTGGTAATAACTGAATAATCTGAAATGATAATCCACATAATACACTGTAAATAAGAGATACCAATGACTTCCTATCTTAATGTCAGATAGTCTCTTATCTTGGTTATGACATCACATGTCATTTAAAGCAATCGTTCTAATCTTTCTGTTTACTTTGCATGTGCTGCTTTAAAAAATACTATTATTTTCTGCTAACAGCAGTGCCTGAGGAGCCCCAGTCATGGATCTAGATCTCTTAAGTATGGATTAAGACAGTCCCTACACTAGAAAGTTTAAGACAGCACTTGCGGACTAAGATAGAGGGACAGGGGAGCCCAAGGTTACCAGTAGATACTCTTCATTCAGCTGAAGGCTCTAGGAGCATGTGTTCCTGGTCTGCCTCAGCTATTTTCTTTGGAGAAGTCTGAGGCTAGATCCCAGCATTCGTTCACAAGAACTAGAGAACTAGTTTTTGCTTTGCAACCTTCCTGCTTACACTGAACTGTCAAAAATGTCAGGACTTGTGCATGTTACTTCTCAGAGGTACACGAAGGCTGGGATGGGGACTGGGGAGGTGGTAGCTTCATTGCTCTGCATTTGTTTGCAGAGATGAAAAGCTGTTCCACTCTAGAAGATGAACTTTGGTTGCATGATCTGCAAAATGCCGAGATCCAGAGGGAGACATTTCATCACGCACTGCCTTGTCAAGGTGTCCTAAGCAGTTTAGTAATCTTATATTCTAGTTTATCCCAGAGAAAGCACAGCCTGCAGTTCTTGTGCACTATAGAAACCTGTTCTACGTGGTGACAAGAAAACATTCGATTATGCTGTGACTACAAGTGTTAGTCTCTACTGTGTGCTTTGCCAGTTTTTTGAATGTATGTATGAAGTCTGGTTCAACGACCATAGGCACTTGGTAAATCGGATATATTTCCATATAGTTACACTCAGGATAAACAGTCAGAGCAAAGATCAAAGTCTGACATCTCTGGCAGAGATGTCAGATTTTGTTCCTGCCCTTCAAGAAGTTTATGCTACTAATTTTCAATATGAGTACAGAGAATTAAGCTCCTGAACGTATTTGAAAGACGTGAGGAAGAAATTCCAGAGCTTCCTTGGAAAATGCTGTTGATATATGCTACGTAAGAGAACAGAATAGGCGATTGTAGTTTTCCTTTCTGGCTTTGGAAAACAATTAATCTCTTGGGTCGTTTGGCTGAAAGCTGGTTTCCTGCTAATGCAGAATGTAATGTTTGCAGTAACAGAAAGAATTTCAGAAGTAATGTGGGAATTTTTGCAGTGTAAATCCAATTGACTAGCTTGGTCCTTCTAAGTCTGTCTTTCCAAATAATTCTGATAGCTTCATAATTGGAATGTCTGAAAATCACCTGGGTTTTTCAAGTCTTTGTAACTTTGGCTACCCTGACAAAAGAGACAAAAATCGCTTTAAAATATCATAAAATATTTTTACTTCTCTCTGTCAGTTACAACAATTTGTGTAGTCAATACATAAACGATTAAAAGTAAAACTCCAGTTTTTCTTATGGAGAGTTTAGACTGGTTTTGTGTTTTGTTATCAAAAAATAAATCAGACTGCCACCAGGGGATGCAAGTGCTTTAGTCTTTATTTTTATAATATAAAAATGTCCACCTGTTGCTAGTGCTCTGGCAGTCTTTGAAATATGCTCTTCGCTGAGGTCTCGAAATGGAAGTAGCTGAGGCAAAAAACAACCACTGAAAAAACTCTGGGTATTTGGGATCCACAGGCTTTTCAGTAAAATGCATGGCAAGCGTTAAGAGGAGGGACATAAAGCAAGAGCTTGGGTAAATGCTGATGTGCATTTCCATTTCTTCTTCTCTTTGGGTATGTTTTCTATCTACCCTGGCTAATGTAACATTACCAAAATTACCCGTTACTGCAGTGCACATCAGAAAATGATTGCCACTGAATTGGTGGGGAACCAATTTCATGTCCAGTTGTAACTAGCAGCAAATTGCTGCTTTCCTCCCTTCAGAAATAGAAATGACGCCCAACTGAATCTGCTTGGGGAAGAGTTTGAAAACAATTTATAATTGTGTTTCTGAAGTGGTGCTTAAAGTGCCTATCTTTGTAAAACATGTTCTGAGCCCGTTCAGCTGTATCCACTGATAATGTGTATACAGTTTGTTGAGCAGACAAAACCTGTGATAAGGGAAGAACTAGTGAAATTAAGCTATCAAAGATGCAGCAAACCACTTCCAGATGAAAAGCTATTTATTTTAACTGAATTCTTTGGGCGGGGAGAAAAGGCTCTTTCTGGGGGAAAAAGAATTGTTAACTTTATCTAAGTATAATGATGGACTTTGGAAAACTGAAGTTTAACAACCTTTATGTACAATTAAAATGTGATCAATCTCTCCACACACACAACATGCTAAGATGTCCGCATGTTCTCTAGCAATCATTGAGGCCAGATTTCAGTTTTCTGGATACTGAAAACAAAACAGAACCCCCAAGAGGAAATGGGTAAAGGGTATTTATTGGGCAGAAAAGCAATAAATGTTGTAAAAGAATCCCGCCTGGAAAGAGATGGCAGGTTCCGAAAGCCCTCACTACAATTCCTTGTATATTGGTGAAGATGGCATATATCACACAACTTGCAAGCTTTTACAGACAACTTTTAAATGGTTAATTATTTTTTTTTTTCTTTGTTACTATTTCAGTGTCAGTGCCAATACGATTCTGCTACTGCTAGTTTAAGGGCAGAACAAATGAAAGTCTAGTCCTTCAAAGGGTTTTTGTCCCCTAGCATTTATCTTAACTCCTATTTAGATTTTGCAATGGTTGCAGTTATTTCACTAGGAAGATAGGAGCTGTAATACATGGTTGAACCCTAAATAGCCTTTGGAGCTTCATCTTACAATCTGAAGCAGTAGTTTGGTGAAGATAATTTCCATACTCAGCTGCTTTGGTTGTTTGCTTCTACTCCCACACTGCCTTTTTCTTTGTGCTGAGACAAACATTTATGTAGCTGTCTAGGGGACTCAGCTAGGGAACTAGAACTGCCGGAAAACTAATCTGACAAAAAAAAAAAAAAAAAAAAATTGGCTGTCTTCATTTGTCAAGTCTGGTTCCTTGCAAGGCCACAGAAGAGGCTGTTCCAGTACAGGGAAAGGGACAGTACAAGCATGTGAATAAGAAACCGAGTGTAGAAATCAGTCCTGGTTCTCAAAGCTTGTGCTTATTTAATGTTTTTATTGTCTTGCAGCCTCTGACCAGACTGACAAACAATTGCAATAGTAATGAAGCAGATATAAGATTACTTGCAGCCTCTGACCAGACTGACAAACAATTACAATAGTAATGAAGCAGATATGATTAAAAAAAAATGTTAAAAATGCCCGTACCTGTATTTACATTATCTGAATACATACCATCAATACTTCAGTCCTTGTCAACAGAGCCACTTTCACAATTAAACCAAGACATGATGAAGTCAAAATAGTGATTTTTTTTTCAGTGGAATCATTAGTATTTCCCTGTTTTGCTCTCTTCACTTAGTTTCTACAGTCAAAGTTAGACACTGTATAGGTACATACAGTGATGTGCACATTGCTAAGATGTGGTCTCATTGCTGAAGAGTGCTGACTTACCCTCTCGTTTTTGTCATTCCCATGTACCTCAAAACTGTGTAGCCATTGCCAGTTCACACTGACAGGCACTTGATGCTGATGGGAAAAGGTAGATTCAGATCTGGTCATGCATTTGTTTTATCACCCAGAGAAATGCAGCCTCGCATCTGTACGGAACTTCAAACAACCTTTTTTTTTCCCCTTAGCAGAGCTCTGCCAGCTCTTGACAGTTGCAGGAGTCTGCACGTCCAGAACTCCTTGCAAGATTGGCACTTAAACTGTAAGAACTTCAGAGTGAGTGGGTCTTTGTGTGTCCATGAAGTCTGTTAAGATAGGATTAGGAGGCCTATAAAATGCTGTGTTGTTTTACCGTTGCTATTGAGCATTACTGTTACAGAGCTGCATTCTTAGATTAGAGCTTTGATTGTAGAAACTAGAGCTAAAACTAGAGCTAACTAGAGCCTTGTAGTTTTCCCCAGCTTCTCTGTAACTCTTCTCAACTCTAACCTTTCTGTGAGTTTCAGTCTGGAATATGTGACTGTTTTCTTTCCTCCTGCAAGTTTTTCACCAAACTTCTGAACTGTTATTCTTCCCAAGGTTTACTGTATCCCATAAACAGCCGTGAGATCACTTGACTCACAGCCTTCCAATACTATTCACCTGCTTTGTGTTTCTGGCTGGAAGGATTGAAGGGACTGTCACTGCACCATTTCTAACGTAGTCAATAACAAAAGCTGTCAGGAAAGGCATTTTAGTGAGTCTGAAATTCACCAAAGCGCGTTTTTTTGCTATTTGTACTATAGGTAACAGCTTATTAATTTAGTACTGGCAAAAGGAGTTCGTAGCTTTTCCAGCTGTTCCTTTTTTATCAGCACTGTTGCACACCAGATGAATTACTGTTGCATGATTTAAAGTCAGTAAGATTAACTTTGCTTCAAATGATGCCTAAACTACTGGCCAAAGAACCCAAACAAGAATGCTGCTATTGGAATAGCGCTTCACTCTGCTCAGCGAATCTAGGTGGAAATCTATGTGATACATTTTTTTTTTTACCTGTGGGCTACATGATGCAAAATTGTACATTGCTGTAGAGCCCTATGGTATATGTTTAAAGTGACAGCTATATCTCTGTCTTGCTGAGAGGTGTTAATCTCAGTCACACTGTTTGCCACGCAGAAGAGGCCCTAAGTAGGATGGCTTTCAAACCTATGGTCTTGTCATCACTGTGTGAAGTTTAGCCATTTTCCAAACTTGCTGGTACATGATATCCCTGTGACAGTGTGTACAGTTCCATTGTTGTAACATATTTCTTCAATTCTTTAACAAGATTTTCCCCCTAAATGCATTGACAGATGTGGTCCATGTCTATTCACTATGCTTTCTGGGCTAATAACTGTTAGAAATGTGATCGTTGACTTCATTAAATCTTACTGTTTATTTTTGATATGTTCTGATATCAAGTTCAAATTGGCCAGTATGTCTAACAATTTCAAATAGCAAAGTTCTTGGAGAAGGAGCGTAACAGCAGTTGGCAATGGTCTCACAAGGTCACCAAACTCCCAAGTCCTGTAAGGTTCTGCTATTACTTTCAAGACTAATGCTTATAGGCAGTATATCTTATTTCGTTACTCATGGGAGCTTTCTATGTGATTTTTAATTGCTAGTTCTGTCTCTCTCTTTTGCTTCTTAATTTTTTTTCCGTCTTATATGTGTTTATTTTGTTAACAGCTTACAGAAAAAGAAGGAAATAATGTATCCGTAATGGAGAAGGTCAAGGGAAAAATCTAAACTTTCAAAAACTATTATTTGAACTAATTTTGATTTTAAGAAAATAGATTGTTATATAATGATTGGAAGTTTAGTATTATAGTTTACTAGCTATAAAAAAGTTATTATAAGAAGGGTATACATGTGGTTTTTAATCAAAATAATTCTAAGTAATCTTTCATGTGGTACAGAATTAGCTACATTATATTTACGTCAGACAGATTATAATAAAACTTTCTACAAGATTTTTCATTCTTTCCAACAAAAGACTTCCTCTGGATTTAACTATTTGGGGTTGTATCACAACAGGTGAAAGTCAGTAAAACTGTTCAGGTCATTTTGGGAGCTGTTTCGTTTGGCACACATCTGCCACATGTTCGGTATTAGTAGGCTTGAATTTCCTAAAAGTAGGTTGTTAGTATATAAATTTATGCATCAGTAGATTTGAATTTGTTTTTTAAGAACTCTAGAGTTTCAAGCACGTATCAATTAAATAATTTTCTACAACTGCACAGCTTTGCTTAATGAATTGATCTAATCACTACAGTGTAAAACACAAAAGGACAATTTGCCATCTTGTTAATTGTCATTACTACCATGGATCTCACCGTTCATCACATACAGGACTAAACATGCTCCAAATATGTATTTGCAAAGAGAAGGCCCAAGAGCTGGAGCCCTTTGAAATGTTTTCTTAATCTGTGCCTCAAAGATTGTATCATCTGTCTGTTAGGTCAACTCTTCCTTTAGTCTGGCTTATGATTCCATTTTTTTTCAGCCATTCAATAGCTTTTTAAAATAATATTTCATGGCTTTCTTCCACGCATCTTTTCCTATTTGAGAGGGATCCTTTATAAACATCCATGAAGCTCCCTTACTTTCATCACTCAGATTCCTTCTTAAAATTCTCTTTTGCTCTAATGGCTTATTAAAAAAGGCCAGTGCTTAGCTGCCAGCATGCTGTGACTGGCAGATATCATATCAAGAAGTTATTCTTCAGGAGTTAGTGTCTGCCTCACTGTTTGTTTGAACACATTTGTAACTTCTTGCCTTATGTTTAGATTGTAAGCTCCTACAAGGAAGCACCTTCTTGCAGTTCTATGGATGAACAGTAACTAGGAAAAGAAAGTGCTAAACTAGGGATGTAAACCTTGCCACACATTCTCCTGAAATTAAAGTAGAGTAGTAATAATTCAAAAAGCTCACGTTCTGTCTAACATGCATGCTTTGGCTTAAAAATATTGGAGTTGCTATACAGTTTTAGTTGTGATGGATTTTACTGGGGATATAGGGAGCAAAGAACGTGAATTTAACCAAAAGATCTTTTTTGAATGACATTTTTTATTTTCAGTGATATGAAAAAAATATTAACAAAGATGGAAATCAGATTTTTGGAAATTCTGAATCTGCTTGTGTTACAAAGTAGTGTTGTCTCACTGAAACTGGCACTTAATAAAGCACTTTTTAGCATCATTAATACCAGTAAGCAGAGGGTTCTTGGTTAGGATAGCGTGCTTTTCTTTGTGGCTAAGTCCAAAAATACCATGTATCTCCAAGGCTGAGTAAATTCAGTATGCAGATATGTTTCCTTGGAAACAACTCGTAATTTTAAAGCACATGCAGCAATGCAGCCCTTATGTAATTTATTAATGTGAAAGACCTGGCTCTCGTGAGCCTTATTAAATAGATCAGCCTATATTGGCAGGAAAGAGGAATTTGCTTTGATTACAAATACAGCTTTTCAAGGGCTATTAGACACTGAGATATTCGTGAGTGGAGCTGATATTACTGCTATTGTGCCAAGTTGTTTTGCCCGTTTAGGTGAAACATATAATATTCTTGAGGAATATTAATACCCAGGACATTCTGCCTATTCTAACAACTTCCTTCTTTATTGCTGCTAGGGTGCCACAATTTAGAAAAGGTTATCTTGCTCTTCCTTTTTAAGATGCCACATTCCAGGGAACAGAAATCCTAGTTTGAGTTTAAACAAAGGAAAACTCTTCATTCAGTTCCTTCTCAGGGCGCTATTTCGGCTAAGTCCTCATTTGTATTGCAATAACATGAATGATCCTCACAGATCTATATTTTAGACTCATAAAAATATATAGTGTCTCTATTTCAAAGCAGTCTC